ATTTCTAGGCTTCGCCCGTAATTAACATTCAACTTTTCACGGCAGCTAGAAAGAACATGCAACGCAAAAGGCTGCCAGAGTAAAAGGGCCGAGAAAAAAAGAAAGGAAAGGGGCAACAAACAAAATTGAGAACGGTTAATGGCAAAAAAGTCCAAACTTTGACTTATGCGTATTCCCGGAATTGAAATATTGCTCAATTTTGTACGTAATCCTCGAAAAATATCTCCTTTTAGTAAAAAAAGCTTTTTAGCAAAACTTAGGCTTATTTAGCGTCATGGCAGCCAAAAAGCTGACTAAACGGTTAAAACGGTATTTTTTTCGCGAAAATTTTTTATTCAAAGGGTTAAAGTGGGGGAGGGCTGGTGCATTTTTTTCCCAATGCAGGTGAAGTTTTTTTTATGCCCTACCCCAATTTCCTGCAGAAGAAACTGGGCTTCTCGGGGAGGGACGCAGACCAGACACGAGATATGACAGGGAATATTAAATGAGATCAACTTTTACCTTGTGCAGTTCATCTCAGAAGGCGTGTTGCTCACTTAATACTGAGGGCGAACATTATGAAGCTCAGTGAGTTACTAGAGAACATATCAGATATCGATAGAGACATTAAAGCTCACCTCAACACCCTGTTACACTCAAAGACTGGTAATTTGATACGAGGAGAGTATGCTAAATCGTTTAATGAAGGTGTTATCATCACAAGGCTTGATGAAGCTAAAAAGAGTAAATAGTGAATTGAAATATCTTAATGAGAAACTTAATCAATGCAAAGGCATGTTTCGCGGTGTGTTACGGTTGGAAAACAAATAAAGAAAAAAATCACAGAAACAGAACAAATGGAAGAGCAAAAAAGGGAACAACAGAGAGAGTAAAAATTTTAAACGGCTTCATCAGCTTTTGTCAGCAGACTTAAATTCAGAATTGACAATGTGAAAGTAGAATCTCTTGCAAGCCTTTCAGTTAGACAGGTCAGGTACGGTGACTACGGTGGCAGACAAAAATGGCAAAGAATGGTCACTTGACAGAAAGAGCCATTACAACAGCACAAGACTCTCTAGAAGGTTTTATGGAAGAAAGTGAGGAAGAACTGGATACAGATAAAAGTCTCTTTGGGGAAGATAGTGACAGCTTGACAGAGAATGAGGAGTATGGTGACTAAACCTTAAATATTGTTATGCTCCGCTGAGGGGTATAATGTGAGCTGGATTAATTTATACTGTTCCAACATTTAATATGTGTTGGTTAGTTGGTTCTGACAGAAAATCTTCAAAAACGTTTAGGTATAAAATGTTTTGTTTGATATGTAAAGACCGCTTTCTATGCAACAGTTGACATACACGTAGGGTTGTTGGGTTGTTAAGGTTGATCATTATTAAAGTTTAAAATGCTTACTGTACAAGGGACTTATTTGTTTAATAACATGTATATTTTGTTTATTTGTGAACAGCAATGTTAACAAAAAAAATGGTATGGCCCTCCCCAAAGCCCAGCTTAAATTTTTTGGTGACCCTCCCCTATTGGCTACATAACATTTTATGACCCCATCTCCCCATTTGCACCAGCCCTCCCCCGGCCGCTCTAATAAATGACAGGTCCCTCAACTGAAATTAGCAGCAAAGCAACTGGGTTTTTTATTTCTTCTTTTTATTTCTTAGCAAAGCTAAATGGTATTGATTTCTTACGCTTTTGGAGCCTGGCTGCAAAGAGAAGAGCCTTCAAATAAACAACACAGGGATTTATTATCCTCGCTTGCTCTCCTGCCAGTACGAACTGGCTTTTGCGAGCTTCCGTATCGCTATCATGATTCTATCAGATTATTACAAAGCTACTCTTACATTTCGAAAATACTAAAGGTGGTGTTAACGGTATTATTGTTTTACATTGTAAGAGTGCTAAAACGATATGTGAATATTATGCTATGCCATAGCACTTAAGTTTTCCCAATGTATGGTAACCTTGCTCTCTGTTACCGCCTGTTTCTCCAAACCTGAGCTGTTTAACTGGTAGATGTGTCTTGTCAGTGAGGAGACCCCTGTCTTCACGCCATACATTGTCATTTTTGTCACAGTTACATCCATATCTCGAGTCTACACATGAGTTGGTCATCCCGCATGCGCACTTACCACTGCCAGTTGATGCTCCACTCCAGTGTGTCATTTTAGTGGAGTCACGTGACACCCACCAAGCATATCCGTTCCTGAATATCATTGAATTATAACACTCGTACTTGATAAACTGTTCGCACTGTGAGGAGACTCTGGTGAGACTCGCCAGCTGAGACAGGCTCACTCCTCTGTAATGAATGTCACGTGAATAACAACCAGGAGATTCACATCCGTGCACGTGTGTTCTGCTCTCACTGTCGTGACTGATGACTGTCACGCCAGCTCCATTCTTGTCACTCATGTCACAGTAAACTGTAAATGGTGCCAGACTACCCTCACCATCAGGATCAATGACGAAATGTGCGCTTACACTGCTGACGTATCTTTTTATCACAGAACAGGAAGTCGCAGTCACTGGTGAATTGATTTTGACTTTAGCTTCTATTGCTCTCAGAGCATTAGTCGCTCTACAGGTGTAAGATCCTTCGTGTGATTTCTTGATTTTTGTAATCAGCAGTGTTTCATTCTGTAGAACTCTAGACTCTACGGGAAGTGAAGACATACCATCCTTTGTCCAGGAAATTGTGGTTCTCAGGTCACTCAAAAAAAAAAAAAAAAAAAAAAAAAGGCGTGACAGTAACTGACAAATTAAACAAGAAGGGATACCTCTATTAACTAGTAGTAATCAAACATTATGAGAATGCGATCGACACCGTCACTCAAATATATATATATACCTTAAACAAGTTATTTAACTAGTTGACTTTCAACCTTTGTCTATTGCTAAAATCAACGTTATTCATCGGCAACTGAGGGTTTTACAGACAGATATGTCATAGTGTCAAAGTCCATTCCATTTTAAGAGGTCCCCTTTACAAATTACGATTTGTTGATACGTTGCGTGATAGTGCCAGTTTCTGTAGACTCACAAGTTAAATAGAACTAAAATATTTCCATTTATAGCGTTCAAATTTCGTGCTAAATATTGGGCGTGTTTAAACACGAAATGGCGAAATGGTACCAAAGATAAGAGCCAAAGTTATAAGAACCGCTCCAATAGAATACGCTGTGTCTCTATGTCCGACAGCCAGACAGGTTTTTCAAAATACTCCTTGTCCGGCAGTCAAAATTATTATTTAAAGATTTCAGTTAATAATGTCAAATTCTTGTTTATAAGGCTGAATACCAATTTTGGTGAACCCGGCACCCGGTATATCGGGATTTATAACGTAGACTATTATAAAATGACCGACAGTCAAAACGTTTGAATAGCACTCCGGTTAGCCTAAAAAGTACTCCGGTTAGCCTAAAAAGCACTCCGGTTAGCCTAAAAAGCACTCCGGTTAGCCTACAAAGCACTCCGGTTAGCCTAAATAGCTCTGCGGTTAGCCTGTTTACGGTTAGCTTTCAATAATGCTAAGGGTAACTCTATAAATACTTAAAAAAAATACCCCTTCTTGCCGGTTGGCTGCGGTGGCGCAGTGGTCATCAGTATCGCTCACCAGGCCGCCGACCCGGGTTCGATTCCTCTTGGGGTCGCCTGTCACATCGCTCACTTTACGTTGTTTTACTCCAAACTCTCCAGACACAGAGTCTTTTAAGAAACCTGTCCGGCTGCCAGACAGGTAGCCACAGCGAATAAAATAATTGAACATCGTTATTAATGAAAGGTCTCAGCAAACCAGGATTCTGTTTCATTTTGTACTTGCCAAGTTGCATGTCTGCACTGCACTACAAAGCTTACCCTGTATCTATTTGATATACATATCCAAGGTCACTCCGTTTCTGTGCAAAGTACATGTTTGCCAAATATCGTGTATAAACTTCATCGCGACGTGGGTTCGGTTTTGATAATCCATTTCATGTGATTGCTGGAGCTGAAAGCATAACGTCATAGCCGCTGCTCGATGGTAAATACGATATAAACAAATCGTTTTCTTCCGATGTCAAAACTAAACGCCGCCATTTTATTCAAGAATATCCTAGGCGTGTCAAACCGCGCTCTGTTAACAGAGAGAGACTGGAACCCAAATTACCCAGAGATTTGTGATTGTAGATGTTTCTTTCATTTGTCGGGATTAATCTTTAGAATAAATTCGGCAACAGATGGATATTTCAGTGGAACGGCAATTTTAATTTCAGTGGAACGGTAATCTTACAACTTTGGCTCTTATCTTTAGTACCATTTCGCCATTTCGCCATTTCGTGTCTTACACGCCCCTGTTCCCACGGTTAAAATCCTGAAAGCGATGGCGATTCGAAGTCGTGTTCCAGGGGCACCCAACGGATCGTTTCGGTAAATTATCTGTTCGGAGGGCCTTTAATTCCCTCTGATTTTGTCGAGAGAATTGCCACCTCGAACTTTCGTGATATGAGAAATTTAATGTCTGTTGTTTTCGGATTGTTAAAAATGTCGTTTTGGGTACCGAAAAAGG